CCCGTGTCGCGCGCTGCTGTTCCTCTCGCAGTTCTACATCCTGTCGGGCGGTGGTGAGTTAGAGGCCAGGATCCGCGCGGTGCCGGCCCAGGGGGCGGCGGGCAGTGCTCGGTGTCGCCCTGTGGGCCGCGGTCTGGGTTTCCGGGGCGGCCAGGCCGGCAGGCGTTCCGTGTTGACCACGGGGGCCGAGACGTTCGTGTCCCGGAGAACGTATGTCTCCACTCGCAGGAGACGTTCGTGTCCCAGATAACGTGTCTCTCGCTCGCAGGGGCCTTGGACGTGGAGCGCTCGCAGCCGCCGGCCCCAGCGGGGAAGGACCCGGGCCCGACACGCGCTTTCACGGTGGTTCCCGGGGCGGCAGGTACTGCGCGCCTTCTGTTCGGCTTAGAGCTCCCTCTCCTTTTCCACAGCGTTTCTTTTAGAATATGAAATCACTTTCCATTTCCCGAGCGTCTTATTTATTGTATTTTAGGTTATGTGAACTCAGTGCAGAGATGGGCATTTTCTGTAAGGCAGTCTTGGTATTTCAATAGCTTTTGACTTTCTGGCCTCACCTCTTTCTCCAGTCTCAGGCTTGTCATTTCCATCTCTTTATTCCTGTTTTTTGTTTGTTTGTTTGTTTGTTTGTTTATTCATCCATCTAGGTAACCTTCAACCAGTGCTCCTTTTCCTTCGGAAAAGTTCTTGTATTTCTTGTACCCTATTCCTGATGTTGCATGGTAAAGGCTCCCCACCGCTGGGTGAAGTGGGAGGGTCCGGAAGAGACTGACACAGATTGGGCTCTGTCTAGGTCTGTTGGCGCTCCTGGGAGCTTGAGCAAGTTGGGCACCTTTGGGGGTTTTGGTTTTCTCATCTTTAAGATGGTGGGGGTAGCCTGGCCCTCTAAAGTCATTTTGGCTTTGTGATTCTAAATAGCCATCCTCCAGCCACAAGAGTAACAGGAACAAAAGAAAAATGGTGTTTTATAGATTTGCCTACTTAATAATGACTTCGAGGCAGACCACTTTAATTGACCATTAGTGTCTTTGCTAAATGGAACCTTTGTCTCTATAGTTTCATTATTTCAATGAATTGAAGCTGGCAGAGGTATCTTACTGATTCTGATTTGGGTGTAAAAGACTACTAGGAGGGGAGGAGGGTAGAGCTCAGTGGTAGAGTGAGTGCTTAGCATGCACGAGGTCCTGGGTTCAATCCCCAGCCCCTCCAGTAAAACTAACTAAAATAAACCCAATTACCCACCCCCCAAAAAAGTAAATTTAAAATAAATAAAGAAAGAAAGAAAGAAAGAAAAAAGACTTCTAGGAGACAGCCGCATATGTGAGTTTAAAACAGATTATTTTATAGAGAAACGGCGAGAATTTTTGACTCTTTTGGGCATTTTTGAAAGCTCTTCCTCCCTGAGGTACCTGCATTTATTGAGGATACTATTTGCAATTTTGATCCTCTCTTACCTGATAGAAATATATTGTACTCCTGGCTAGGTTGGCTGGGAAAAAACTGCAAGTGACTGATTAAGTTACAAATATAGAGAACTGTTTTGAACTTTGGTAGGATGGAACTAAATATTATTTGAAGACTGTGGCTTTTTGAAGCACCAATGTGGGATAATGATGGAGTACATTTTCTAGAGTTGGTACCATATTGTACTGATTGATTGAGTTAGTGGGTCAATGGCATCATTTACAAATTAGTGAATTCAAGGGGAAGGAACACTGTATTGGAAACAGATTTGAGTTCTGGTTCCAGCTTTGCCACTCCCTCTGTGATCTCGAACAAACATTACCATCCGTAAGCCTTAGTTTTTTCATTCTGTAATATGGTAGATTTTTTGAGGCCCTAATATATGCCCAGCCCCAAATTATATATGTTGTATGTACGTGATGTATATTATAGTCATTTGATTTGTGTGGTCATTTTATAGACAGTCATTAAATACTTTTTACTTAGCTGTCAAGCTGTTGCACCAGGTCACACAGCTGGCTGGTGGCAGAACCCTGCTTTACTTGCAGGTGTCTCTGACCCCAGTCTGCTTTTTCATTCCAGGAGCATGTGTTACTGCTGATGATCATGCCCCTTAACCTTAGAAAATGTTTTCCTCTGTTCTCATCTGCGTTGTAAGAGAGTACGCTTCTCTCTCACCTCTCACAGAAAGTACCGACATCCCACCTTATGTGATGAAGTGTCCCAGCAACGGTCTGTGTAGCAGACTTCCCGCAGACTGTATAGAGTGCAAGACAAATTTCTCCTGTGTCTATGGGAAGCCTATCACTTTTGACTGCACGGTCAAACCTTCTGTTACCTGTGTTGTAAGTACTGCAACTTTCTTATTCTCAGTAAACTCAAGGTAAACCTTGAGTTATAAGTAGAGTTTAGACTGGACTATGGGGGAAGCTCAGAAAGAAAGCGCTCTGCGTTTTCTAAGCAATATTTTAGGCATAAAGTAAGACGGCTGAAATTTCCATTTCCAAAGTAAGGTTTGGTTGCCAGGGTTCAGATAGCAATTTTTGACACAAGGATAAATACCAGACTTCTTACAAAAAAGTCAGAGGTAGAAAAGGCTCAGGTGCATTAGTTGTCACCCGTTAGAAATGACCCCGCTACCCATCGTCACACCTGCAGCCTGTGTCTGGTAGTTTGACAGCCAGGAAGGAGCCTGGAGAGGCGTTCAGAGCCGGTGACGCCTGCGTCCGAGCAACTTGGCCGGGGCTCCTGGTATCACCGACTCCTGGGGACAGTCCCACACCTGCCCAGTGTGAGTAGGTCCGGGCGGCTCAGGTACCTGCATTTATTGACAACTGGACCAGGTAAATGATGACATACTTCATTGTTTGGGACTGCAGACTAGCATCTGGCGAGGTGAAGAGTAGAAATGAGTAATGCAGCAGTCTTCCGCTCTTCCCTGCTGTCACTAACTGTGATTTATTAAGCTGTCTCTTGTTAAATGAGGGGATGGGCCCAGAGCAGCTTCTCCGAAGCATTTCTGTGCCGCCCTCACTCTGGGAGATGGTCGAGGAGGAAAACCAGATTCCATACCACATCCTCTTGCAGATTGCGCTTGACCCAGAGAGTCTAGCCTTTCCTTCACTTCCTGGGACAGAGTGCCTTTCCCTGTCCCTTCTTTGGAACTTGGCCCGCAAAGGGCTGGATTAGAAGGCTCTTTCTGTATTTCTCCTAGAGTCTGGGGTCATGAGAGGGCATGAGGGCGGCTTCACTCTGGAGGGGAAACTTGGGAGAGTGTGTGTGGTCTCCGTGAATGGAGTTTTTATGAACCGAAGCGTCTGTCATTTTCATCTGCCAGGGTTCCCTTTCAGGCGCTCTGGAAGCGGCGCTCGCTGCCCAGGGGGTGGTCTTCCCAGCTCCCTCGAATTGTCCTTGGCTTTGTTACTGCATCTGAAATACTCGTCCTCCTGACACTCTCCTCTAGTGGCTAGACCTGTTTGAAGGCTTTTGAAGCCTCTTAGGTCTGGCACATACTAGGTGCATAGTAGGTGAAAAGGGAGAACACGCGGATGATCAAGAGGAGCTTTTGCAGAATCGGCCTCTTTTGTTGTTTGCCTCGGCTTCCTTGACATTCATCTCCCAAAACTGGTTGCTGAGTGCAGCTTAGTTCTCCATCTCTTCCTGCTGAGGTCTTTCACAAACAAGTGGTTCCATGTCATGGGAAATAGCAGAGGACAGGAAAAATGACAAAGGTAGAACAGTTATGGAGCTGAGGCAAGTTTCCGGATCCTAAGTCACAGCCCGGTGCGTCCTCACCACTCGGCTGAGACCTGCCCTTTTCCTGCCCTGAGCATTCGTGTCACCCGCGCCCTGCGCTGGCCTGCAGGGGTGCATCCTGTCAGAGAGCAGGAGTGGTGTCTGAAGTCTGCCTCGAGGGAGGCTGGTGGTCTGTTTCTTCTCCAAAGCGAAGATCAGTAAAATACTGGCTCTCAAGAGCCCTGGGTCCTAGGACTGCTGCAGCCAGGTAATCTGGGACAGACCACCTGTTCTTTCCTTACTGAGTGACCGTCTATGGTGTCCCTTCTCACTAAATAGGTTAGTGATTCAGGCAGAGATAATCCGCAGACATGGCAGGCACATGTGCAGACATTCAGCCTCTCCTCCCGCCCTCCCCACCCCAGTCCCTTTTTCCCTTTCTCCCTCTCACTTTATTTTGAACTTCAGATTAACAGAAAGAAATAGCTCTGCTATTCCTCCTAGTCCTTCTAGCTCTCCTAGTCCTCCTGCAGGCATCCTGAGTAGGGACTCACAGGCCCTGGGAGTCTCACCTGGATTACACTAGTCAAAGAAGTTATTTTATAATGGCCCTGCTAGGTATAGAAATATACATGAGTGCAAGCACCCTGCAGCCCCTTTGGGGTCAGGTGGCTCCTGCTTCTGTTATCGTGGAGACCAAGCCAGTTGAGCCACGTCAGCTGGAATTGTGCTGGGCGGGAGTGTTGTTCTGTGTGTAACCTTTTGGACGAGTTCTGTGCTCTTAGTCAGACCGTGGTTTCACCAACGGAAGGGAAACAAATCTTTTCACTACTCATGAGCTTTTGAAGGGGTCTGGACTTGTTTGTGGTGCGAAGACTGACTCAGCAAATGCTGGGATGCCTGGGAAAGGGTTGAACCCTGTTTTGTCCAAAATAAATTCCAGATCGATTTCAAAGATTTAGTGTGAAAAAATGAGACCACAAAGTACCAGAGAAAGCATGAGCTAGTTTGGTTATAGTCTCAAAAGAGGGAATATTTTCCTAAGTGTAAAATAAAATTTAGAAGCCGTAAAAGAAAGAATTGGTACATCTGATTACTAACAATTATAGATTTCTACATGACCTAAAAAAGCATGATGGCAGAAGACCAATGGCAAACTAGGGAAAAGTATCTCTAGCACATATGACAAATAATGTGCTAGTATCCATAATGTGTAAAGATTTCCAAAAAGCCAGTGAGAAGATGACAATCCTGTAGAAAACTGGTGTTAGGACAGAAGTAGATGGTTCATAGGAAAGGAAATACAAACAGACTTTCACACAAAGTTTAATTTTTCTCACAGTTAAAGAAATACAAATTAACGCATTTTTTTTGTCCTATCAGATTGGCAGAACAATCAGAACGTTTGGTGACACTTCGAGTTCTTGAGGGTATGAGGGACACTCTTGTGTCTTGTTAGGGGATGGGTAGATTGGTCAACCTCTTATAGGCAATATACTTTAAATGTGAGACTTAACCTTTGACCCAGCAATTCCATATTTAGGAATGTATCTTACAGATACAATGTATTGCACATGGATGCAAATAAACATGCCTAAGGATATTCTTAGCTGCATTGTTCAGCCAGGCAAGATTGGAGACAGGCTAAATATCCAAGAAAGAACAATTTAATTTTTGGTTAACTGTGTAATGAAGTAAATACTATTAAAAATATTTAAAAGAACTAGGCAGCTCTAGAGATATTTACTGATATCTACAGAATTAAATAAGTAAATAACGATGGAACATTAAATTTTTTAAAAAACCAAAGTATATGTGACGTAAACGTGCTGCTGTATAGAACAGGATCCCTGGAAAGCCAGAACAGGTAAGCCGAGCTTGCTGCTGGGCCCGGCTGGGCTGGCCTCCTCCCTGCTCTCCTGTTGTGTGGGAATTTGTGCCTCGTACTCTTATTACCTAGTTTTAAAGAACAGTTGATAAGAAACGAATGTTACAAGTTCATTGGTCAGAATATGCAGACGTTTAAAGCAATATTGCTTAAGTCAAGTGATACCTTACCTAGCTTTGAATATTATCCATAAAAGCAGTTTTTCATTAATCAAAAAAATTAATAGATATGATACCTCCAGAGGTGATTGTGTGACCATTTTAAATGATTTTGAAAACTATTTAGAGCAGTCTAATGTCAGGTAAGAGGATACAAATCGTCCTCAGCATAATTCCACCTGTAAAAGTCCACATTACAGGAAGGAAGAAGGAAAGAAGGTGAAGAGTGGTGCTTTCTGAGAGGTTACACGTTTCTTCTGTAATTTCCAGATGTGCAGCATACAAGGACATGTGTGGCTCTCATAAGCAGACAACAAAATAATGACTTTTAACATTGAAATGGAAAAAAACCTCTGGTTTCAAAAGCTTAGGGCCAGCAGTGAGCACTTGCTGAGCCTCTGCATGTGGTTCTTTTCCATGCTGAGAGTGACCTACTGTGGCCGCCTGTTGGTTGGTGACCTGCTTGTGTGACCGCCGTAACAGCCTGGGGTTCTGGAGCCTGGTGGAGCTACTCAGGGGAGTTGGGACCGGGGAGCCAGGCAGTGCGCTGCTCCAGGCAGTGGAGCCTCGGGCTGGGGCTGGGCATCGGCCTTCTGCACAAAGCTTGCAGCTCAGTGACCTTGCACAGGTGGGCTCGCTTGTCCTTTCAACTCCCTGGGCCCCCAGGGCTTTACCAAGTGCATTTTCCTTTTTTCGGTATTATAAAAGTACACATACTCATTATTAAGAATTTGGCCAGAATGACAGTGATGAAATAATAGTCTTAGCATCCTGAGATAACCTTTGTGATCTTGATGTGGATTTATCTAGACATTTTTTCCTTGTGTATGTATTTTGGGGTGTGTGTTTGTGATCATAGGGTCGTACCATGCACATTTGTTGTGCATACATACTGGTTTGGTACCTGTCTTTCCGCCACTTCCTCCTAGGTCATAAACACAAGTATTTTAGAAACCTTGTGCCATGTGGCTGTAGAGTCTTATCGACATGTTAACCAGCCACTACTCTGTGACTGAAGAGTCCATGTCCTTTGGTGTGTAGGATCAAGACTTCAAACCCCAAAAGAGCTTCGTCCTCAACATGACTTGCAGATTTTGCTGGCAGCTCCCGGAAGCTGATTACGAGTGTTCCAGCTCCACCAGCTGCATGACAGTGTCCTGTCCTCGGCAGCGCTTCGCCGCCAACTGCACCGTGCGGGACCACGTCCACTGCCTGGGTGAGTCACGGTCTGCAGCGCTGCTCTAAGCTGACTCAGGGAACTAGTGAGAAAGTTGAGGATTAAATCTGAATTGTCTACTCAGAAACGTTTATCAGCACTTTTCAGTTATGCCAGGCCTCATCAGTAAACTCCGTGAACTTAAAAAAAATCCAGCAAGTTTTAGTCTTTCCTAGCTAGTCCTTTTCTGTTGTAAGAACTCTTTCCCTACACCAGATTCATAATTTCCTGTGTTTCCTTTTACATGTTGCCCATTTGGCCTTTCACATTTAGGGATTGGTGTTGGTGAGGGGGTGAGGCAGATTCAGGGTGGCGTCCCCCGTGGGTAGCCGGTCATCCCAGAACTGGCATTCGGCGTGAGCCTGCATCCACAGGGGTGTCTGTGCGGCATCGTTTGTCTGTCTCAGCTCCACGCTCTCTTATTCCCTCTTCGCTTATCTGCGTCCTGATAGCATATGGGGCATTGCACGTCTTCAAGCTGGGATCTTTACAAAACTGAACTAAATGTCAAATCTACGCTTATAGGTGGTACGCGCTTTCTTTTTACCACTCATTGTAGTGAACGTTTATTTTTGTAAGATTGTCTTTTTAGATTGTAAATTACAAGGTCTCCAGTTACACGTTAATCTCTGTGTAAGAGTATTTTTATACCATGTTTCTATGCAGACTGTTTTCCTTTTTTAAGGTAACCGTACTTTTCCAAAAATGCTGTACTGCAATTGGACAGGAGGCTATAAGTGGTCGACTGCCCTGGCTCTGAGGTAAGCTCTGTTACTAGTAGACTAGAGATGCCACGTGGATTTCCTTGGGATTGGTGGAGTCTTCCAGATGTTGAGCTCAGGCAGTCTCCTCCCTCACCCAGATCCTACCACGTGTGTTCCATAGACGGTGAAACATATTTAGGCTTCAGGCCACCACCCTCCATGGAATTCAGTAACAGGTTGCTAGCTTTTCTTCCAAGACGCCTGCACACTGTAGAGAGGACTTCATTGAGTCGTTACCATGGGTGATTAGAACCAGTCAGTGTTTCCCATCCTGAGTGCACCATGAATCAGTAAAGTGCTATGTACTGCTTCAAATGAGTAGGCTTATGATGTATATTTTTAATTTTTAGTAACTTTTTTCTTTATTATAAAACTAATACATGGTCGGGGGGAGGGTATAGCTTAGTGGTAGAGTGAGTGTTCAGCATGCAGGAAGCCCTGGGTTCAATCCCCAGTACCTCCATTAGTAAATAAATAAGCAGGCCTAATTACCCCCCCCCCAAATACATGCTCAGTACTGAAAACTAGAAAAAATGGAAATCACAAAGAAAAACATTAAAAATCACCTGTAACTCCATCATCCAGATATAATTACAGATATAATTTTTACATTAAAATGTGCTTGTATTTGTTAAACTTTTCAGCAATTCAAAACAATATTGTACCAGTTCTTCCCACCAGAGGAAGGGCGGGTGGGTGCTGTTTAAACTTCACTGATTAAAAACTTGTACATCTGCTGTGGAAGGTTTAGAGCCTGAGACCCGTGACCTCCATGTGCCTTGTGCCATGGGTCGGGGCTTCTCAGCCTCGTCACTGTTGGCATTTGGGCCAAATAATTCTTTGCTGTGGGGTGTCCAATGCACAGCAGGACGTTTAGCTGGATCTCTGGACTTTACTTACTAGAGGTTACCCACCCCCACACCCGAAGATGTGACAATCAGAAATGCCCCCAGGTACCTGGTGTCTGGGGCAGGGCTGGGGAAAGAGGAAGGTCCTGCCTGGCGGGAAATCACGCCTGGAAGGTGTCTGAGGGTCCAAGATGGAAAATCTTAGGCAACGAGAATGAGATTCAGTCACAGCCACAGTCTTTGTCAGCAGTTACAACTAACAACTGACTTCTTAATAAACTTTTTATTTTGGAGTAGTTTACAGAAAAGTTGCAAAGATAGAGGTCCTGTACACAGCTTACCTAGTTTTCTCCACATTGTTAACATCTGAAGTTACCATGGTATAGTTAACAGCTGACTTTTAGAAAGTAAGAATAGTTTTCTTCCCTGGGCTCAACGTGGTTCTTTGAGAATATCTGCTGTGTCTGTGACACGCCGGCGGTTGCATCTCAGTGCTGGGGAAGGGGAGGGTATAGGTGAGCCCAGGTTGGACACATGTTCCTCATCACCGGAGCTGCGCCATGGGTGCTGTTCTCTTTAATTTTAACTTTTATATCAAAATTTTCCATAATAAAAACCTTAAAAGAAATACAATGAGAAGTTGTCCAAATACTGTTAGATCTTAGCGTCGGAAGGAACCTCACAAGTCATTTACTCCTAACACAAAACCTGTAAAGACGGACGATGACAAGTTAGCCGACTGAATGGGGGCAGCCCACTGGTGTCGCCTGCCTCCATGCTCCCACTTGGCTCTCCCGGACTTGCCGTCTTCAAGAGTAAAAAGCGACAAGCTCAGTTGCTTTTCTTGAAAAGAAAGCATTAGATTTCAGTCCAGCTAAAAAGTGTGTGTTTACATGTGACATCTAAACGATCTTCTTGCCCATGGTTACTTAGGGCTATTAGTTTGTAAAATGGTCGCTTGTGTCCCGATTGAGAGATGTTTGTGCGTGACCATCCGGGCCCTCTCACGAATGCGCGTCAGCGCGGTTACTGGGCCGCCCTGGCTGCGGTGGTGGGGGTGGGCATCGGATGGATTCCAGGCCTGTTTGCCGTTGCAGTATCACCCTCGGTGGGTTCGGAGCGGACCGCTTCTACCTGGGCCAGTGGCGGGAAGGCCTCGGCAAGCTGTTCAGCTTCGGGGGCCTGGGGGTCTGGACGCTGATTGATGTCCTCCTCATCGGCGTTGGCTACGTGGGACCGGCGGACGGCTCTTTGTACATTTAGCTGTGGTCCTGTGCTTCGCAGAGGAGCCGGGCTTAGGAGACATCCATTTGCCTGTAGGAATCGCTGTGCTGAGTGGTGCGTGTGTGTTTTTAATGTACAGCATCTGTACTGTGTCTGCCTTGATGAAGGTAAAATAAACAACCCTCAACTGTGCTTACCTGGAATTTATTTGCCTGAAATATATTTTTTTTCTGTGAAAAAACTTAGACTAACTTAAACTTGAAAAACAACCTGTGCAGCAACTGAAAATCTGTTCAATTCCTAGGCTTTGGTTTTATGTTGGTCATGTCAGAGTGTATCGCTTGTATCTCGGCCTGAATGCAATCTGCCTTGAGAAGCTTTTCGGCTGTGATTACAGGAAGTGGGATGTGTTTTTGTTCTTTAGCTAAATAATCTGCCTAAACGTCAGTCATCTGTAAGTTTTGAGATGTAACATGTATGTAGTCTGGTCTTTACATGTGACTGTTTGAAGTAAACTGCAGAACTTCTGTGCCTGGTTGCCACGATTTGAATTTTGTTAGTAATATAAAAGGTCACGAGAGTCCTGGAAAATCAATAAAATTACAAGTTCCTTGAAAAAGATTGTAGACTTTTTCCTATATGTTTTTTATATTAAAATATAATCTTGAATAATCATAGCAACTTCCTTTTATTATTCAGAAGTAAAATGTTTATTTTTCAAGGCATTGCTGCACTCTGATAGATACACTCGTAATTGACTGTTTCATTAACACACAATGGACACGTTTAAAACTGTGTCAGTGGGATAAATGAGTCTGTAGATCTGTTGTAGGCCCTTTTTTGAAGGAAAAACACTTATTAATCCAAAATGGGTTGACTCATTATTTCTTTTGAAACATTCACAAATTCTTACCATTTTCCCCTTGAAATTGGGTATCTGAGTATTACTTTTTAAACATCTGTGTTGAGAGCTAGAAGACTTAACCAGCGTGTCAGATCTTTAGCTAGAAAACATTTGAGAATATCTCCATACATCTCGTGCGACAAAAACATACTTTCTTCATCAGATTATGAATTACAACTCCCCCTTTTGAAGGGGCACTGAGCCACTTTGGCATGATAACTTGCCATTTAAGAACAGGCTGCTTTTGAAGAACAAGGCTCTCATCTGCGCAGGTTGGTACCGTTGAGTAACAGATCCAGCTCTGGGCACTAGGTGGTGCCTCCCCATCGCGTCTGCTCTCCCAGGATATTTCCAGAAGCAGCCAGTCTTTACTTGTTTTTTCCCCTGGAGCAAGAACGCTGCCACTTCCAGGTGGGCAGCCCCGTTTGCACAGGCCTTTCTTCTCCGGAGCAGACACATCCTCACCTGTCACAGGTGCGTGAGACTTGGCACAGCAGGTCTTCAGAGGAAGAACTGTCCCTGCAAGGAAGCAGCCCCTGTGCTAACGATGGTGAAGATTTGCCTGGAATCTCCTTGCTTAGCTCTGCGGTGAGGAGGATCTCCACGGCTGAGATGACACACCAGAGGGAGCCGGGAGGTGATGGGAATTGCTGACGGTCTTCACAGGGAAGCTGTGGTCTCAACCATTGACCATCTTTATGGCTTTGGGGCCTGAGTTAATTAATGAAGCTCCGGCGTTTAAAAGGTGACATCTAAAAGGTTCTCAATCCACAAGAGGACACAAAGGAACTTGTTCCTAAATCCAAGAAAATTTTTACATGGAGATAGACTTTGGAACATAAAGGATGTAAGCAAATTGGGAATGCTTCTTAACAAAGATTTGATAGAGCCAGTGGCCTTTGAGACAGAGCTAGAAGGAAAACAAGGAGATCCCCAAATACAGTTTTAAACAGATTGATGAACAATGACCTCATACCAGGGCTCCCAAAACAAACCAATAAAACTATGTTCAGAGGGCACCGTAGAGGGTGGGTGTGGTCTCCGACAAATCCCACCAGCCTCTGCAGGCAGCAAAGTCACGTTTGGGTCTGACTTTTAGGGTCTGTTCCCGGGTGCTGTGAGCTCTGACCAGAGGCTGTTAGCTAGGGAACCTGTTCACATATCAGTCACCAGCCTCTCTTGGCAGTTCTCTGGAAGCGCAGAATTTATCACTGCTGCGTGCTGTGTGGCATCCCCCTGCCTCCCGTACTCAGGGTTTCTTCCTTGCTTTGTCAGCGCTCTTCTATGCGCCCAGCAGTTCCTTGTGGGCAGGTGCTGTGTTAATTTATTTCTCTCTGCTCCATCATTCCTAGCACCACATCTTGTGCACAGTGGCCTCGTATATTTGCTGAGTGAGTTAGTTCCCTGGCATCTTAGAGGTACTGGAGCACCTGAGTGCAATTCTGGGCCCCAACAGTCAAGGTGGCTGCAGGGAGGTAATATACAGACATTGGCTTCAAGTGACTGTTGGCCGCGGCACCATGTTAATCTGATTCCTGCAAATTGCTGAGGTTTATGGTGCTTATAAAAAGATTTTTAGAAGATCTTAATGCTTCAAAATTTAAAAATGTAAAAATGCCTTCCTTATGCCACATGACTTGTTTCTCTATATCTTTTAAATACTTTCTGGCAGAATCGCATTTATTTTTGGCATGTCTTCCGCTAAGGGATTTGCAAGTGATTTTAATTCATCCTGGTAGCCACGAGTGGAAAACAAGCTGTATCCGATGCAGCCTTTCAGATACATCAGGAGAGCTTGCGAAAGCAGGCAGTCAGCGTCCTTCACTCCCCATCTCAAGCTTCTATCTACGCCACGGCTGATGAAAGTACCCTTGCTAGAGTTTAAAGTGTCACAAGGATGGTAGAGGGTGTGTAATTTGGTAAAAATTCTTAGGTTGAAAGTGGGATGAAATTGTCTTCTATAAACACACTTATGCAAAACAAGGAAGCTTTGAGACATTTGGACGTAATGTACTTTTTAAAATTGAAGTATAGTCAGTTACAGTGTGTCAATTTCTGGTGTACAGCATAATGTCTCAGTTATGCATATACGTACATACACTCATTTTCATAGAAACACTTGGACATAGTTTACAAAGAGGCTCCGCAAGATTAGGACCGTGGTTCTCTGCTGTATCCCAGCTTTGAGATCCCTAGTGGGCACACAGTAGGTGCACAGGGAGTATTTGTTGGAAGAATGGACAATGAGGTGTCTCTGGGAGTAAGCTAAAGACCTAAAAGTACTACTGAGAATGCCTGGATAGAGGGAGAAAGCAACTGATCACAACACCCCCCTTTCCAAACACTCAGGGACATGAAAACAGTAGTTAAAACTGGCATCCCCCTTTCCACAGACAACAAACAAACAAACAAAAATCCAGCAGCAAACAAGGAAAGAGATAACCAAACATCCAAAACGTTCAAAAATGATAAGGAGAAAAACAATGATGGCTCAGATCTGAAAGGCTGCCCTGCGAACAGTCTTGGTGAATCAGCAAAATCCAGGAACTCTGCCTCAAAAGAGACTAATCGGGAGAAAGCTGACATGGTTATCTTTTCCCTGTTACTGTGGGGAAGTGGAAAGGGCTGTGGGAGAAAGTGATGAGAGGCAAGTGGACAACCAGGACCAACTCTCTGATGGGTGTGGAGGTTCCAATCTCAGCCAAAAGGATCCAAAGCCCAAGATGGTTCCCAGGGGGCATGAAGTCTGCTTCCTAACCAGGGGGAGGAGACATTGGCTGGGGACATTTAGAAAACCTTAGTTCCAGAGACCAGGGGGAGGGTATATAGCTCGGCGGTTGAGTGCATGCTTAGCATGCACGAGGTCCTGGATTTGATCCTCAGTACCTCCATTAAAATAAAAATAAATAAGTAAACCTAATTACCTACCTTCCAGAAAAAAACCCAAAATTTAAAAAATAAATAAAACCTAATTACCCAATAATTAATAAACCTAATTACCCCCCCCCAAAACCCTAATTACCTCCCCACCAAATTAAAAAAAAAAAGGAGAGACCAGGTATTCTAGCAAAAATAGTCTCAGCTGGGCTCTTCCCTGCCTCATCTCTGCCTGTCAGCCTCCAGGACATTAAACAGAACACAAAATACAACTTTCAAACTGCTGAGAAAGAAAAAAATAAATAAGGGAATGTGTTCACCTGATGTCATGAAGTTGCCCACAGTACACAAGAACACAATGAAAAGAAATGACACACAGTTACTGTGTGACTCTGCAATTCTATTCCTGGTTCTGTGCCCAAGAGAAATGAAAATGTGTGTTCACACAAGAATTGTTCATAGCAGCCATGTTCATAATCATCAAAAGTGGAAACAAACCAGATGTCCATCAACTGATGAGTGATGTATAAACAAAGTGTGGTCTTCTGGATAGAGTGATTTGAAATACAAAAAATAAATGGATAAATTAATAGACAAAATGTGGTCTCTCCATACAATAGAACACTCCTGACCTTTGGGTCACTTCCTCCTTCCTAATACTCTGACTTTCCTTCTATTTTTATTTCCTTTCTGTCCAAAGAACTTCCTTTAGCTTTTTTTTTCCCCCTTCATCTTGTTTTAGACATTTGATTGTGATGTGTCTAGGCACGGATCTCTTTGGGCTTATTCTGTTTGGGGCTTGCTTAACTTCCTAAATCTGTAAGTTTATGTCTTTTGCCAAATTTGGTAAGTTTTCATTCATTACTTCTTTTAATATTTTTTAGCACTATACTCTTTCTTCTCTCCTGCTGCGTCTCCAACGATATGAATGTTAGATTTTTTGGTTGAGATTCTAGCCATTTTTAAAATCTGTGCTCTCTCTGTTCAAATTGGATAATTTCTCTTTCTATCTTCAGGTTCATTGATTCTTTCTAATGTCCTCTCCATCTGCTATTCAGCCCATTTAGTGAGTTTTAAAATTTCAGTTATCTTTCAGATCTCAATTTGTTGTTGGCTTCTTCTTAAGTCTTCTTTAATTTTTGCTTGAAGTTTTTATTTTCTTTTCCCCAGAGTTAGTATTTTGGGGGGAACATATGTATGATTGCCCCTTTAAAATGCTTGTCACGTAATTATAGCATCTCTATCATCCTGATGTCAACGTCTGCTGATTGTTTTTCCCCATTCAAGTTGAGATTTTCCTGGTTTTAGTGTGATAAGTAATTGTGCAATGTGCTAGGACAAATTGGGTGTTATTTTCTGAGATTCTGGTTTCTATTTCAATCTACTTTTGGAGCAGGCAGTCAACCTGTGTGGGTTCAGAGTGCACGTCCTGGCACACTGTTGTGGGCTGTGGTTCAGATGCCAGCGTGGTTTCCAGTGCTGTGTTTCCCGGAGGCCAGTCTGAAATGGGAGCAGACATTGTGGTTCAGTTTTCCAGTCTCTTGATGTGTTGATCTGGTTGGTCATGTACAGGCTGTTTGGGGATCTGCCCAGGACTTCATCCACCAAATTAAGTATCCCTGTCTCCAGTTCTTTTGGCTCTGTAATCCTCACCCCAGCTCTCAGATTGGGAGGGAGTGGGTGCTGCTTCTTTGTTCTGCTTAGTGCACAGTGGGGCTGGTCACAGTCTCCGCAGCTGATGTACTAGTTGGTTGGAGTGAGCACCACCTCTTTGCTGACATGTGTTTACTGCAGAGGGGGAATGTAGACAGGGATTCCCCCATAGTTTCTACAGTACTGGGTTTGGAGCAGCTGCTCATGTTAGTGCAGGACCAGAATGGTTTACCCC